CAAAAAAAAAAAAAAATATTATGAAACAAATTAAAAGAGCATATATTGGAATTATATTCCAAGTTCCAACACTCTTATATAGAGAATGAGGTTTTAGATTTGTGATAATATTTTATCTTCTTACAAGGGAATGAGTGGATGGAATTGATTTATATAAATATCCATAAAAAAATACTAGATAATGGTATTCTTTAATTATTATTTTGAAAATGAGAAAAAAATTATTTGATTCCTTATTTTGTTTTCTTTTCGAGGAGATGCAGCGGTCCGTTACGGAATAATTCCGTCGAGGTTTGTAACCGTTAGATCCACTATCCCTGACGGTTACGTATGATTGAACGGTTACAAATCTCGACGGAATGGTTTCGTAACGAAACCGTAGAATTTCCTTTCTCTTCGCTTTTGACGAAAAAAAAAAAAAACTGATCTTTAGTTGGAGCTGCCGTTAAAATTGATTAAATTGGAATATGAGTATCGAATTGTTGCGTATTAAAATTGATTAAATTAAATATGAGTATTAAAATGAAACATGAGTAAAGTTGGATAGTGACTAATAATTTTATCATTACGAAATAATTTCGTCGGAGTTTGTAACTGTTAAATTATCATGTATTAAGTTGAGCTGGCCCGGAAAGGGGAATCGGGTAAGGAAGAAGAATACAAAAATCTCCTTACACAAAGTAGCGCGCTAGCATATAGTGCGTTGCGAGGATTGCGCCGTTGGAGATAATTTATCTAACGGTTACAAACACTGATAGAATGATTTCATAACGGGACTGCAACATTTCCCAGATTGTGAATACTAATAGAATCGGGCCTAAACTTGGTAAGAAACAAAAATTAACCGCTAATAAAAAGAATCATAAAATAATGCGAAAAAACTAACCGTTCAACTTCAGCATATGTTTTACATAAACATAATAGAACTATTAGTCCTACACCTTTAAAAAAAATGACAATTGATATCATAAACTAATTATGTATTTTTATTCACAATAACATGAACATATGTAACATTTGATAGCATAATATAATTATGCATTTTAATTCACAAAATATAATATACTGACTCGACTAGCTTTAAACTGACACACACAAAATATTTATGGCCAACTAAATATCTATCTAAATATTGATAACGAGAGTACAGTGTATCATTGTCCATAGAAAAAACTCGTCTTAATTTTAACATTTAAATCAAATGAAACGACACGGCACGGGTCCATGACTCGTCGTTTTCACTAAAAAAACGTGTGTTTTTTTTTAAAAAAAATTTAAAGGATGCATTTATAATTAAAAATAATTATAATAGACTAGATTCATGAATAAATTCAAGCAAAACACAAGAACAAACTTAAACACTGTTATCTCGACAACAATTAATCATCAGCATTTTGTAGTACCAACTCTTGAAGCATACGCTTTCCAGACTGAATCAAATATGGAGTTGTAAACCAAACGAGTCGAGTTTGAGCTTTTAATACTCGTTTAAGGTAAAAATTCACAATTTTACATAAAAACCATGTGTCGAGCCTTAAGGAGCGAAACCGAGTTCGAGCCAAACTCACGAGCAGCTCGTTTCATTTAACAATTCTATTCACATCATAAGCAAGAGATGCCAGATGGAGCTCAAGTTCACTTTTTTTTAACATAAATTAACCGTTCCTTGAATCAGCTCGACTCCGCTTCAATTACTACACAAAAATTACCAATCAGTTTACGTGACAAAAATTAACTAACGTTCCTCGATTCAGCTCGACCCAGTTCGAATTACTACATAAAGTTACCATTTTGCTAACGAGCGTCCAACTCAATACCCCCCGAAATACTTCACACGAGTAACTACCACTGTTCTACATAAAAGCCACCTACTCGTTTTCTGCATCTTCAATTTCTTCATCCTCGGGCACCCCACGCAGATAAAGAACGTTGTTACATCTGTTAACGAAACAAAACATACCAGATAATGATATTGATATTGTCAGCAGTCAAATCGAGATGGCCTTGTCTAACTTCATAAACAACAATAACTAAGTAAAATTACATTTCGATTGAGATTTTAACACAGGTGGTAAGTAAAAGACCAATATCTGCATACCAAAATTTAATTTAAAATAGTCCATTTTTGTGATTACTGATGAGTGATGAATAAACAGATGATTACCTAATTAATATCTCCCCAAGACTTCCCGTGCACTGCCCATCGATATATTCCTCAGCATTTGCAAGCTGCCACAAAACAAAATGCATTTTGAATCTATGGATGTCTGGTGTATCGTTAAAACGTGAAAAAGATGCACAAAAACTAAATCGTCATAACTTAATATACCTGCAAATTCATGTAAGAATCCACGGATACGAGAAAACCTGAAGAGAGAATCCGGTAAAGAGATAGTTAAAAACCAAATGGATAATCAAATGCAGTCGGTAGACAAAGAACAAACATTCGGAACTTCCAAACGATCGTACAGACAAAAAATACCTTTATATTCCATTCCCCATTTGAGTTTCACCATTACTGGCTTCCCAGTCAAATTGTTCAGAAAAGGCTTCGGGTTTACTGGAACAGACTATCAAAAACAATACAAATATAACTATCAGAACACATGAGATTAACCAATGTCAGCAATTTTTCATTATAACCCAATGATCTGAATCCATTATGCTCATAAAGGCTCAAATTCTGAGCTGCACTAAAAATAATATTGAAGGGTTCTAACATAGCAACTTTTCCATGATTTAAAGCATTTAAATCTCTATCGTTTCGGAAAAAAAAAAGCATTTAAATCCCCAAAAGGTAAATAGATACAGCAAAAGCAGCTGAAAGTTGCAGCAATATAGCATTGTATACTGAATAACCTGCAATTACTATAACAACATACGAGAGATCAATTCACAAAATCCAAATAGATCCCTGCTTTTCTCACCGGATTAAATTTATGAAATCGCCCAACATAAACAACCAATGCAAAAACAATCTTCAGACAAAGAAAAGGCGGGAACGAACAACTAAACTCAACATTGAAATCCCAAATTAAAAGGAAGCATTTTCATGACAATCAGCGGATCATCACGAACAGAAAGAGAATATAAAACGAAACTTCACCATCGTAGATGATTTTCGCGGCGGCGAAGATGATAGTGTTGTTGAGGTTTCTGCTAGGCGGCGACGGCGGCTGAGTGAGAAATTGTTTTATATAATTTTGAAGTAGAATGAATGAAACCGGAGGTCTGCGAGGTTTTTAATGGGCTGGGCCTGCTTTATTTTTTGTCCAATGTTTTCACGTATTTTGTGTGGCTGATTTACATCTATACTGTGCGTGGGACAAAATAATTACAGATCTATACATTTCAAATCTTATTTGCATATGTGCGATGTTAGTCCTTTTTAATTGTGTGAATACTAAATAAATATGTAAATGATGGATTATAAACGATCTAACTGTTTTGGTATTTCGTAACTGACGGACAATTAATCCGAAAATTGTGTATAAGATAAATGTTATGTAAATAATGCATTTTAATCCTTATTTATCTTTTTTTTTCTTTGTCTTCTCCATTATTTTCTCCTTCTCTCCTCTCTCTTCTCTTTATTTCATTCCCATTAAATTTCAATTATCTCTCCATGTAAATTTGTAAATAATTTTTACAGTAAATTTTCTAGTTTATTTTTCAGTTTATTATATGCAGTATATATTACGTTTATATTTAGTATATGTTCAATTTTTTTAATAGGAAATATATATTGCGTTTATAGTTCGTATATATTTACAGAGTAATTATCTCATATTTATTTATATCAAGATTATATGACTAACAAAATAATAATTTGTGATTGATTTTGTTTATCTCAGGTTTATGTTAAGTATATAAAAATATATAACACACATATACATAAAATTCACATAAAATATGCATAAAATATACACTCGAGATTCTCGTAATTCAAGCCAGCGACATACCGGGACACACATATACATAAAATATACGTTAAAGAGTTTCAATTGGTTCTCAAAATCGATTCAGAACTCACATATACATAAAATATACATAAGATATACATTCGAGAATTTCGAAATTCAAGCCAGTGACAGATCGAGACACACATATACATAAAATATACTCTCGATGCTCAATCGTTTATCATTTCAGAACCCAAATTAAGAGCCGAAACCGCAGCCATGGCCCTCTTTTCTACATCCGCAAGCTCACTCGAAAATGTCGGTTTTCCCCTCCTCGACGATGACGGGCGTATATCGGTGGCGTCGCCTCGGTCGGCCGAGAATTGTTCGACAGGGAGAAGGATATGGATTCCACAATTGGTAATCTACCCCCATCGTCGGAAGTCATCGCTCGTACACCATCATCGCGCTCGAGAAGTCGCCGGTGATGAAGACTTGGCCAAGCCGCGGATTGCACCATCATCACAATCGATTTCTCTCCGGCAACAGTTTGTCGAGAAGCTGCAAACAGAAAAAAAAAAATCTCATAATATAAACATGTAAAAGAATAAGAGAGAGAGAGAGGGAGAGAGAGAGAGAGAGAGCGGGGAAGAGAGAGAGAGAGAGAGAGAGAGAGAGAGAGAGAGAGAGAGAGAGAAGAAAGAGAAGAGAAGAAGGAGTTATTCGTCATCTTTAGTTGTCGAACCCACCCGTCGGTGCCACGCCGTTCCATCCGCTGCAGAGGATGAAGCTTGAGTCAATTGTGGAGTAATGAAGCATGAAAAGTGGGATCAATTTTTTAATTGGTAACAGATCCCACTAAATCTGTTCTGATCCTTTAATTTCCTCGTATGTGTGCAAATAATATTCATAAATTTTGTAAATTTGCTAATATGTTTAATGGGGACATAAAAGTGCAAATAAAATGCTAGGGAACGTGTGAGGAGTAATTTCCTCTATTTGTTTAGGATCAAGCCCACTCTATAAATATTATTAGCATAATACCATACTTATATATGCAAAAACACAAATATGATGAAATAACTAATAAGTGCAAGCAAATACAAACTTTTCTAAAAATAATTCAATCATTTTTAACCAATTCTTTTTTTTTTTTTTCAAATTCCACTCGACTTTAACTCAACTCAGTTATTCTCAATCAAGTAATATCACTCGATTATTCTTACACTCAATTTTAATATTTACTATTCATCCACTTACATAATTTAAAGTCACTATTATTTCACAAAATTGTTAGGGATGGTTCTTATTTGATGAACATAATACATTGCTAATTAATAATCACCCTCTTATCTGTATTTTGTATTCTTCATAATTGTCCTAAGAAACTCTGTAGTCCATATACAATATTTTTTATTTTTTTTGGGTACAAGTTCATATACAATATTAGCTAGGCAACAAGCCAAGCAAGTAAATAAAANNAAAAAAAAAAAAAAAAAAAAAAAAAAAAAAAAAAAAAAAAAAAAAAAAAAGCCAAACAAGTATGGAATTACTAGCAAAAGACATGGATAAAAACCTAGTTCAAAACCATGCCGAAAAGCTAGCAAGACATATAAAAAAAATAGGAAAAATCGCAGCATATAGCTATCGCGTCATGCTGAAATCCGGCCGACGTCATTTGCCTTAGCCAGCTCCTTTTATTGGTCCAATCGTCTGCAAAGACCCTTCACTTCACCCGACGAAGCCCTAAATACGCCGCAAGCCGGTACACGACGAGCATCACAACCATAGCCGTCACGTCGACCCACAAATACCTCAAACCGATCGACTTAATCGCGGGATGTTCCCAAACCCTACACTCGCCCTTCCCTGCACCACACTCGTAATAATCGTCCTCGTCGTATTGAATCCCTAGAAGGAGCTTGTAGAAGTAGTAGCTAAAGCTCGCGTACTTCAACCACACGATGAATATAGGGATCTTCCTCACGTAATAGCCTCCGGCCACACTGAACACGACAGTTGTGACCGAAGCCAGCGTGGCCGCCTGCTTCACGTCCATGAGTAGGGCTCCGAAGGCGAGGCCGAGACTCTGGGCGACAAGCACACCGAAGAGAACAACGAGGAGGGATAGGATGAAGGCCCGCGGGTCGGACTTGAGCCCGCCCATCCAATACAAGATGCACGTGAAGGCCGTGGGTAGGGCAAGGTCCATTGGGAGGTCGCTCACCGCGCGGGCAGCGAAGTAGGCCGAGAGGCGGTACATCCCGGATGAGCGCTCCTTGACGAGCATGGCGCGCTCCTGAGGGTATGTGAAGACAGCGTTGTAGAGAGGGTAGAAACCCCAGAAGACCGAGAAGAAGAACATCAATGAAACCTATATATGTACATATATATTGTTAGGTTGTCTCACACAATTTTTTGTATTAAAGGGGATAGAGAAAAAGAGTTACTTGCTCGTCGATTTTGGAAGGCGGAGTGCGCCACCAGAGGAGGCCGCCAAGTATGGCCACGCTTAGGACTTGGAAGACTCGTAGCTTGTTGACGGCTTCGAATCTCCGCTCGTGAAGGCCTCGTACGAGAAGGATCTTGAATTGGTGCCACCAACTCGTGCACCATTTCTCAGGAAGGCTCGCAGGATCATCACCTGCATCGTACGTGCATGAGATATTATATTCTTCACTCAATAATAAGTGATTTGGTTTATATATAAATAAAATAAGGGAACTAGTTTTTTTTTTTTTTTTAGCATTTCGTATGTTGAATATAGGATGTAAATAATTAAAGAAAATGTGACATGGCTAAATATTAGAGATTATTATGGTGATTAGATAATTGATGAAAATTTTGTTAAAATCTAGTGTATGCTTAGAAGAAGTTACAAAATTTTCGGTGGTGTGAGAATTAACAAAAGATACAAGTTTTAAGATTTCGATATTTACTTGGATACTCATCAGTGTCAAAGTCGGCGCCCGAGCCCGAGCCCGAGCCGCGTAGCTCCACCTTCAACCTTTCACCAATATTTCTTTTATAACAAGTCACGAGAAAGTCTCTTAACGATTCTGTCGGGTCCTTTTCGGAGCCGTCACCAACTTCCGGCGCGTGCTGCGACTCCGGCCTCAGACCTGTAATTATCACAGATGACATCAATCTTCCAAATTATACTTTAAAGTAGTAATAAAAAAATAATAAAAAAGCGAAAATGTTTCATTATCATATCTTGTTAATTAACCGCTCTACTAATACCATCATTAACGAAGACTTCATGCAAGAAAACTAACATACACTATTATGACAGCACGTTATAATAATTCATAGGCCTTTTTCCATTTTTTCCATCTTAATTATGAAAAAAAAAAAAAGAAAAATATTGGTAGCTAGCTAGTAACCGATTACCGTTGGCGAGGTCGAGCATGAAATCGGCCGGGTTAACCGAAACCGACGGCGAAAGCCCGATTGATTCGAAGTACTCCATCGCATTTGGGCCGGGCCCGTAGTACACGGGCCGGCCCATCGAGAGCACTAGCACCTTATCGAACATATAGTAAACTCGGCTCGACGGTTGGTGAATGGTGGTGATCACCGTCCGCCCTCCGGCCCGCGCGAGCTCCCTCAACGTGCCCACGATTTGGTACGCTCCGGTTGAGTCGAGCCCCGAGGTCGGCTCGTCGAGCAGCAATAGGCTGGGATTGACCAACATCTCTTGCCCGATGCTGACCCGCTTCCTCTCCCCGCCCGAGATCCCGCGGAGAAACGGGCCCCCGACGAGCCCGTCCGCGCAGCCCGAGAGCCCGAGGACCAAAACGACCTCTTCCACATGTCGGGCCTTCTCGGCCCGCGTGAGAGACTCGGGTAGTCGGAGGAGGGCCGTGAAGAGTAGGGTCTCGAAAACCGTGAGGTTCGGGTAGAGGACGTCGTCTTGGGCCACGAAGCCCGTTCGGCGCCTGACCCGGCCCGAGAATGGGAGTCTATTGTAGATGACCCGGCCAGAGAGGCTACCCGTGAGGCGGCGGCCGCCGAGGGCCGTCAGGAGGGTCGTCTTGCCACTCCCCGACGGGCCTAGCATGGCTAGGAGCTCGCCGGGGCCCACGAGGCCCGATACCCCATCGAGGATTGTCTTGGTGGATTCGATGCTGGTTTTCAGGTTCACTTTGTAGACTATACTTTCAAACTGCAAATCATATAAAAAAAGTAAAAATAAATGAATAATTAAACAATAGAACAAAATTAATATATGATTTATTAGTGAAAAATAATAAACTCAAACTATACTTTCAAACTTTTCAGGTTCACTTAGTAGACTATACTTTGGAACTGAAATATCACATCAAAATAATAAAAGTAAATGAATAATTAGTAAATAATGGAACGAAATAAATATATGATTTATTATTGAAAAATAATCAAGTCAGACTATACTTTCAAACTAAAATATCAAAAAAATCGAACCTTGAGGGTAATAGGGTACGAAACGGGATGTTGATAGGATTTGGAGTTGGGGAGAAAATCGTCGGGGGCTCGGCCAAGCTCACGAGCATCATCGTCGGGCTGTCGAACAGCTAACATGAGAGGCATTGCTGAAGGTTAATTAGTTAGTACAAGGATGAAGCTAATACGAATGTACTTATTTATTATGTACATACGTATATATAGATCATGAGAATTTGCAAGGTTGAATAAAAGTGTTTATTTTTTTCAAAAAAGGGCGCATAAAATACTCTAATATTGTCTGGGTTGCGAAAAAGTTAAAGAGAGCTTTTAAAATGAATGAATGAATGAATGAAAAAGATGTGTACATAAATTATGAAAAAGAAATCTTTAATTTTTATAACTTATAACATATAACTACATTAAACATAAATATATTAATTGAGAAATAATTTTATTTTTTTAATTTTTTTAATAAATATTTTGTTATTATTTTAAAGATAAATATAATTTATTTATATTATATATATAATATGGATGTCAAAACGAAGGTCATAAAAAGATGATTACTTTGATACATTATATATGTAAAATCGATAAAAAATACAAAAGCTATCAACTTTTAAAATACATTTACAATTCAATACTTATAATAGGAAATGATATTAATATACAATCAATACATCTAAAATGATCATAAACAAATCAACATATTTATGGTAATCTCAACTTAATTAAAATTGAAATTAAATTAAAATCTATACAAGCCAGATAACAAAGCATGAAATTTTGACACACATAATTCCAAAGCATGCGAGTCTGCCACTTAGACTCATCACATCCAGAAATTATATATCGGGGATTTTCTAGAAAGATATCAATTAAAGTGGACCAAATATATTGATTTTGACAAATTAGACTCAACTGATAAATATTATCAAATTATTGTACTATTTTTCATAAGAGGCCAATTTAATACGACCAATAAGAAAAGCCTAGCTACATTATGAATTATGAATTAACACGAAGTTAAAGTTTTTATTTTGTCTAGTGTTTTTTTTTTTTTTTTTT